AGCAGTCTCTCGCGCGCATCAACCACCCAACATCCACCCCTTGTGCGCCACTTCGCAAAATCGTCAAGCGCCATGCGTGTCTACGCCAATGCGCGTGTGCGCGCCCTTTTTGAATGCACCCTTTCTTGTGTACTTGTGTGCCTCGCATACGAGCTCGTACCCGTCTTTTAGGCCATGCATGCATCGATTTGGCCCTTTTTCCAGCCTCATCGGGTCGTCTCGCCTCTTGGATCTTCTTGTCGTCGGGGCTCGGAACCCACTTCCGCATCATTCCCGCCCCCTTTGAGAATGTCCTTGTCCTCAAGGACTCATCCTCTACCATCCAAACCTCGGGCACATCATCTCTAATCTCAAGACCCTTGCGCGTATCGCACTCACGGTCCTCGTCAACTTCGATCTCCTTTTCATGTGCATCGTCCTCCTTGTGCACTACGTCATCGTGGACCTCCTCCACCACGACCAAGATCTCCACTTCAACCCCAGTTATCTCGATCCCGGCTACCACATACTCAGCGTCCTTCTCTTCAACGTAGCCCGGCGAATCGATCGTACACATGGACTCCTCGCACTTCTCTTCGATCACTTCGTCCTCCATGCATGATTCTCGGAGCTTCTCTTTGGCCTCCGCTTGTTGCCTCTCCTCAAACTCCTTTCGCTCGTGAAGCTCCTTCAAAAACTCTTGCTCCCATGAAGTCAAACTCCTCTCCAAACCTTCGAGATAAGCGAGATCTTCCAGATCCAACTCATCTAATGGTAAGAAGTACATCTCTCTCTCTTTTTTTTATGACTTTAAAAAAATTCGACAAAGTCGAACCAAAAAAAAATAAAACAAAAGAAATTCGGCCCCTCAACAAAAGGTAATAACCGAAAAAAATCAAACAAAAGGACTAGATGACACTTTTTTTTTTTTGATACTCACGAATTTTTCGAAAATTTAGGGACAAAATTTGAAAAAATTCGAACACAAGACTCAAAAAAATCGAACAAAAGAAAAAAGAATAGGATAGAAAAAGTTCACGAACACCCAATCGATCACTCTCAATGAAAGCACCAATGATGAAGGATCGGGTGTTGCGTTCCCTCGACTTGTCTCGATCACGGCTTCGCCACGGCCTTGCTCTCAACTATAGGTGTGATCGACTCGGTTATTAGCCTAACTCTCTCACGATACTTGAGTTCACTCGGTTATTAGCCTCGCTACACTCTCAAAATAGATCGGGTCTTAGCTTCTCTAAATCGTTGAACTGGCTCGGGTCTTAGCCTCACCAATTCGATTGCATGATCGAATCTCACGACTCTAACACACGGTTTCGAACAAATGTTCTTTTCTATTTCATCATTCTTTGACATTTAATTATGAAGAGTACATGGAGAATTTATAGGTGCAAAATAAATCTAATTCTAATCTAACTAGATCTCCTATTCTATGCAATAAAATAAATCCTAATGCTAGCAAATCTCCTAATATCTTCTACTACTAATA